CTCCCCAACCACTTGCGCGATTTCATTGCACCGCTGCGGCAGCTCCGGCGCCGGGGTACGATGGGTGCAGCGACGCGCGACGCTATCCCGATCGTCATCATCAGCAACCGCGTCTTGACCAAGAAGCAGTTTGCGGGCATTCAGTCGTATGAGCATGTCTACTATCTCCGCGGCTCGCCGCTTGCGCTACCCATCCTCGAGACTGCACGAGTCGGTCGCAGTAAACGCATTGTGATCTTGCGCAACTGCTCCGAACTCGCGAACGGTGAAACCGAGACCGACCCGAACGACGTGATGGACCAAAACATGATCGACACGGATGCGATTACCCTCCATCGATTCCTCACCGAAGTGTGCGCGGCGCAGCGCTCGGACGACATGGCGCGACCGACGATCCTCATTGAGCTCGTGCGATATTATCGTATGGCGTGGTTGTAGCTCATTTCGAGTATGTAGAGCCGTCCGAATAGCCTCCGGTTTTTGAAGGACCCGACGCTCAACTACCATGACGACGACGACGCGATCAAGATGCTGACCAAGCAAGCGATTGCGCGCGTCGACGATCCGCTCGACCGTATCTGCAACCCGTTGTATGCGTCGGGTACAAGCGGCCAGAATGCACAGAGTGTCATGTGTTGTGCGTAGGCAAAGTGTTTGTGTCGAATGCTCTCGATGCGCTCTTGGGGACGTGCAACAAGTATGGCAGCCTTCTGGAGCTCGTGCAGCTGCTCGTTTTGGGCGAAAATAATGCGGGTGGGCTCGATCAGATGGACATTCCGGTGCTCCAAAATGGCCGCCCGTACGGCGCTTGCTTCGAAGAGCTGCTTGTGCACCAAGTACGTTTGTACAACGGTCACTCGAGTTGGAGCTCATTTTTTGTATTTTTTAGGGCATTTTGTGTCTCGGGGTCTACCGCGCGCGGCCCGAAGCCGACACGAGCTACGTGGTCGTCAACCCGAATCCAGGGCTCGTCCTCGATCCTGCCGACAAGCTCTTTGTGCTGCGGTAGCATGCGTTTCGGCGCAGCTAATTTTGGCGCCAACAACCAACGACCTGAGCCAAAACCGACCGACTTTTGAATTTGGATGCGGCTCAAGCGGGTGCGGGCGAGCGCCCGGCGCCTCCACGCGCTTCTGATCAAGCCCCGGAAGCGCGACGAGAGCTTCCGGCGCTGGGTCGGGCGCAACCTCGACAAGTCTATCCTTGGCGCCACGATTGACCTCTTCCAAGCCTTTCTCGGGTACTCGCCTCTCGGTGTTCTCCAAGCGATGACATTATCACATTGTAGACTCATCGTCACGGGTCTCTATGGCCATAAAAACTGGATTGGCTGGAACAACACCCCCGACGCGGCCGAGCTGCGCTATTTCCACGCCGTCATTGGGTCGGTCTTCCTCTTTGATTATTGCCTTCGGTACGTTTGGAAAGGAGATCCGCGATTAACAATTTTCGGCAGATTCTTTGCGGCCGACAACCGCCAGTCGTATGTGCTGGCGCCGCTCGCCATCATGGACTTTCTCGCGATCTTTCCGCAGTTTACCGAGCTCGTCTTCTCGGAGGCATACCACAATGCGCACATTCTCTGGTTTGGCGCGGTTCGGACGCTGCGGCCGTTCCGGTGCCTTTGCTTCTTCCGGCTCGTGTCTTTTGCCTCGACAGCCAAGCAGCGCGAGTCGCTCCTGCTTCTTATCACCGTCACGTGCATCATCATTTGCTTTGGGGGCATGCAACAGGTGGCTCAACTCTTGGACTTTATATTGCTCTTACGAAAGTGGGCTAGGCCATCGAGGCGTGCCCGTGCAGTGCGCTCGGCGCCAACTGTACACCGGCCACGCGCGCCGTGCAAGCCGCCCACTGCCAAAACCTAACGTTCTACAACGCCATCTACTTTGTGGTCATTACAACCGCAACGCTCGGGTTACGTTTTGGATGTCATACATGTAGTCTATATGACGGTTGGTATAGGTCGGGCGACATTGCTCCCAAATCGCAGATGGGCCGTCTCGCGGTGATCATCCTCATCATTGCGTCCAGTTTGCTGCTGCCACTTCAAATCTCAACGCTGAGCGACGTTCTCAACCGAGAGACCGAGTACGACAAGGCGTTTACCGAGCGCAAGGAGAAGCACCCGCATGTCCTTATTTGCGGCGACGTCAACTCGGGCGCGTTGGATTTCTTTCTGCGGCAGTTTCTGCACCCGACCAACATGAACTGGAAAGACAAGGTCGTGATCCTATCGCCGACCCTGCCATCGAGCAACCTCAAACGTATTTTGCTCAACGGCGCCTACGAGCAACGGGTCAAGTACCTGCAAGGCTCGGCGATGCTCGACTCGGACCTCCAGCGCGCCAGTGCGTCGACTGCGCGGCTTTGCTTTGTCTTGGCCAACAAACTCGCACCCGACGCCGACCAGAGCGACACAGGGTCCAACTTTATCACGATCTCGCTCCGGCACCATAGCAAGCGCGGTAGGACCCTACCCCTAGCCCAGATTTTGTTGGACAAAAAAGGGTCCAATAGTCCCTATTTTCGTCCAAGTGCTCAAGTCGGACAATGTCAAGCACGTCTCGCTCTCGGGCGCCGACAACATTTTGTGCGTCGACCAGCTCAAGCTCGGGATCTTGGCAAAGTCGTGCTTGATGCCGGGCACAGCGGCCTTGATCTGTAGCGTTCTCTTTACGCTACGGCCGTTGATGGTCGACCAACGGTTGGGCCATTTGCGTGTGGTTTGGTTTATTATGTTTTGTGTCGACTAGGGACGGGTCGTGGGCCGCCGAATTTCTCTCGGGCTGCAGTCAACACTTGCACGAAGTGCACTTGCCCGTGTACTTGGACCGGCTCGTGTCGTTCGAGCTGTTTGCTCACGTCTTGTACCATGAATACCACATGGTTTCTTTGGGCGGCTGCGGTGGGGACGGCTCGTATTTTTTGTTTACACCGTCGCGGGTTCTCGGCGCCGACATGGTGCTCTACGTCCTCTCGTCCGACCTGGATGTCGCGCCAACGGTAGCCGGGCTCTCGTTGACGACGCTGCAAAAGTCGATTTTTGTTTTTCGATTCCTCAAATATTGAAAACGAATTCATTTTTAGGTACAAGGCGCGATTGCCCAACTTTGACAAGATCACTCAGGCGTGGAATCGCACGACATTTACGACCAAACTAAGGACAGCGGCCCGTGCGTCAAGGGCCTCGTTCAGCACGTCGTTTAAAGCGTCCGTGTCCCGCGTCGGGTCGCTCTCCAATATCCTTCGCCCGGGCATGAATAGCGCCAAGCCCGAGCCGAGTGCCAAGTCCCGAGTTAACTCGCGCGTTAGCCCCGTCTTGCCCTACTCGTTTGTCGACGACGAGACGCCGGACGCGCCCACCAGTGAGGTTCATTCGGCCCCCGAGGATGACGCGCTGGCCCCCGAGAATGACGTGCCGCCGTCCTCGCCATCGCACGAATCGGGCGCGTGTCCATTTTTGCCCACGGCGCTGGTGCGTCACGTAGTGCTCTGCGGTATGCCGCACTCGCTCCACGACTTTGTTGCGCCGCTGCGTCAAGAGCGGGGGATGGCCCCCGGCCTCGGGGGGACGCACCATTTGAGCAACGTCCCGATCGTCGTGATTGCGCTCAGTCGCATGACGCCCAAGGAGCACGCGGCGATCGCGGTTTACTCGAACGTGTTTTTTGTGCAAGGATCGCCACTCTCGCTACCGACGCTCTTACGCGCTCGCGTGCACACGAGCAAGAGTGTCGTGATTCTCCGCTCGTGCGGCACGACAGTCCGCAACAGCAGCGACCTCATTGACCAAAACCTCGTCGATATGGACGCGATCACGGTGCATCGGTTCATTTCGGATGTCTGCGCCATGCACACACCCTCCGGAATGCCTCGTCCCATGATCCTTATTGAGCTCGTACGTACTCTATCTATCTATCTATCTATCTATCTATCTATCTATCTATCTATCTATCTATCTATCTATCTATCTATCTATCTATCTATCGATTTATCTCATGCTCGACGGGACTGACACGAAAGACTGTAGAGTCGACCGAACAGTCTTCGGTTCCTGAGCGATGACAGCGGCGCTGTGGATAATGACGAGAGAGCGTCGATGAAGCGACTGACGCAACTAGTTATTTCCCGCGCCGACGATCCGCTCGACAACATTTGCCACCCACTGTATGCCTCCGGTACGTCGAGTCTTGGCATTCGTATGCAATAGATCAACACGAGTACTGTCTAGGGCATGTCTTTATCGCCAACGCGTTGGACGCGCTCATGGGCAACTGCAACAAGTACGGCAGCGTGATTGATCTCGTTCATTTGCTCGTGCTTGGCGACGACGCGACCGGCGCGTCGTGTGCACTCGACCAGATCGACGTACCACGGACGCTGTGGGGCCGGCCGTATATCGCGGCGTTCGAAGCGCTGTTGACGCACCACGTACACTGCTCGTGCGGGCGCAGCGTTTGGCTCATCGCAAGAGTGTAGGGCGTACTCTGTCTTGGCGTGTACCGCGTGCGCGGAGACAAGGCCAATTTTGTGCATGTCAACCCACCCCCCGACGTTGTCCTCAACGCCCACGACAAACTATTTGTCCTTCACTAATAACTTATTCAACTACAAAATTATGACGCAAGACATCATAACTCAGTAGTCGTTACTCGTATACACGCACAGAGTTGACAAAAGAAAGCTCCATGAAGACGGATTGATCCTTGACAGTAGGCTGTGTGGACTGCGACTTTATCAAGGACGCGTCGAGCACGCTTCACGCGGTTCCGGTCCCCTTGGGCGTGGCCTCGCCGACAATGCTCTTGGGCTACCCCTACGCGACGCTCAAGACGACCTCCAACATGCACCAAGCCGCATTCCGCAACCTCTGGCGCGCGCTCCGCGCGGGCATCGGGTTCAACGTCTGGCGAGTTGGGAACGATCGAGTCGTTCGCGCAGATCTACGACTACTAAGTCCAAGGATAACTGCCGTCAAGCCAAGCGTCGCAAATTGGATTTGCGCGCGTTTTGACGCCTCAACTAAACGTGTTTCGCGTTAACTTCACAATTTCACAAAGACGTTGCATACGTAGAGACCAGCAATCTCCTTCTTCATTCGCTCGCCGGTCCGTGGCTGCGCAGGCGGCGGCGCGGGGGCTCGTCTGGCTCTTCTGTCGTCGCCCGATGACGCTTGCGGCCGCGGGCGAGGCACTGGACGACACGGTCGGTCAAATCTTTCCAGGCGGCGGCAAAGCTACGCACTGTGTCGAGGTCCTCGGGAGACGCCAGCGACTGAGGCGGCTAAATTGAGTTGTTTATTTCAAAACAAACACCAAATCCTTGGGCCCCAAAATGACATGCGGTGGCGGGTTGAGCTGAACAAAGTAGTGTTGGGGCGGTCGCAAGCGATACAGCCCAATGCACAACATCTTCTATAGGAGATGTGAGACATGTACGGTACATATATACTGAACTATACCTCTTGGAGCAAAAATGCTTCAAAGAGCGTGTCGTACGTTTGGCCCCAATAGTGGATCGGAACTGGTACTTGGTCCAGCGGCGACGCATGGCCGTTCTCACCGCGCATACCATTATCGCCGAGCACGAGCAAGTGCGCAAGGTCGATCGTGCTGCCATGCACCGTGCAGAGCCCAAGGAGCGCATCCAGCATTTGAGAAAACAACACATTGCCTACACTCTACCATCAGACAAGAAGACACCGATATCGGCAACCGGCAGCATAGAACGGATGCGAAAAGGGCCGCAAGAAGTCTGGCTCGTCTTGGTGCACTACCGGTGGCGCGCTGTCGTCCGTTGCATCTCTGAGAAACTGCAAACTGGTGGGTCGTTGCTACGCCAACGTCGGTCAGTATGCACGATCGTCGACGCGACGACGATCAATACCACTTCCATCACAATCGAGGGTGGGAACCCGGTCGGATCGCCGTAGAGATCGCACACTTGGCGCAAGAAGCGGTGCAAAGAGAGGGCTTCCGTGTCGGCCACATACTCGGTGTTGTCGTCCTCGGTTGTATCGTCGCTTGAGGCAAGCAGCACGATGGTTTTGGCGGCAAACACGCGAATGTGGTGCGCGACCTCGATCGTATGGGGCGAGCCTTGCACGTGGTAGATGTTGCCATACGTGGCGATGCGTGCGTGCAGCGCCTCGGACATGGGCGTCGGACTCACAATCACAATGATCGGCGCCGCCTGACCGGGCAGGCGAAGCGGCTGGACAAAATCGAATAGCTGGCTAGGCACCCCACAGAGCACAATGTGCCCCGAGAGGTCGGGGGGTAAATCCAAGCCCAAAAACGTCTGAAAAGCCGCAATGTGTTCGGCGTGCGAGAGGCGCTGTACCGGCAGCATCGTGCGCCGGTGCGTGCCCGACAAACGCATGACCGAGAGCACAGAGAGAGGAGGTTTGCCCACCGATAATGGCACGTCGACGGGACTCGATGCACTCACTTCTGCGCTTTTTTCGAGTACGGGAGCAACGTTTTTGCAGCTCGTGTCGAGCGCTGCGACCGAAGGGCCGACGTCGTTGGGACTAAAGCGGGTGCTGCCGGCGCGGTCGATGGGTGGCACACACGTTTCCATCGAGTGGGGCACGACTGCGTTGCGCCGGCCGAGCGAGAGTTTGGTACTCACTTGTTCGCGTGTGCTCACCGAACTGCGCTTGGTGCTGGCTTTTGAGAGGGTTTTCTTGGGCGGAAGCGGCGCCACAAGGCTTGTGCGGTGCGTCAAGCGGCGAAATTGATTGCTAAACGCTCGAAAATTCCACGCTTGCACAATCTTGTCGAAATGCGGTAGTATTGCCTCGTACCTAGACACGCTTGTGAGGCATATCGTCATGAAAACCGAGTCGGATCGACCGCTGGAGCGTCGTGAGCGTAATGTCTTCGACCCGGGTTTGAACCGACGACGAGGTTGCAAGCACAAAGATCGACCACGTCCAGCGCACGTGCGCGGACGCAGGAAAGAGCCGATGTGCGTCGCCATCAAAGATGCCAATCGGTAGCATGTCAAACTCGTTGAAACAAATGTACGTCCAGGCCGTAAAGTTGATGAGGCGGTCGAGAAATTTGGGAATCCCACATTCGTAAATCCGGTGGCGTGCGCCCGACGTAAAGTCGTCAGCCCACGTCCCTTTGCTACACGACCAATTTCGTCTTTTCGGTAGGTGGTTAGGTCGTCATCGAGTGTACCTGGCCCGCGCAAGGCGCGGAGATGGAAACAAAAGGCTCGAAATAACACCTAGAATGCCGGGCACCAAACAGGCTTTGGCCAAGAGACCGAGCTTGAGTTGGTCAATGCACACGACATTGGTTGCGCCGGATAGCATGACGTGATCTAAATAGTCGGTGCCCACGACTTGGGCAAACACAGGCACTAGACACAAGTCACACCTACCCCTCGCAAGGTCGACTACCGTCCTTGTTGCAGTGCCGCAGCGAAATCGTGAAAAAATTGGTGGCCGTATCGTCCAAAGGCGTGCGCGTCAAAATGTAGCAAGCGCTCGCGACCAAAATACTGGCCCGGTGCAAATCGGCTTGGAGCATCGGCGAGCCCGAGAGGTACACGACGCGCGGCTCGTACTTGGGATGCAAAAGGAGGCGCTGCAGCCCGCGCGACGGCGGACCCGGTGCGAGCACCACAACTGTTGTATTCCACGTCATCGGGTTGGCGCAGAAAAACGTGTGGAGGAAGAACTCGAGCGCGCTCGGGGCGACGTCACCGACGACAAGGACGTGGGCATTTGCTTGCGGAATTGCTCGGTACGCGCGGTCGTAGGCCGAGACGCGGTTGAGCACGTCGCTGAGGCGTGAGATTTGGAGTGGGAGCCACGCCCCACTGACGCCGATCAAGAGAACCACGAGCGCCTTCCCCGCCGTACTGTGTGGTGCAATGTCACCATACCTACGCATTCAATTGATTCGGGGATTTATTCGTTTGAGAATCAAATGTACCCGAGGGTCGAAATCGTTATGACAATGAAGTACATGGACGTGTAGATCTCGAGCACTTGGCACTGCATTTGCCGCGGCTGCTTGTTCGATCGCGTACGTTCACACGTCCCGAACTCCGTGCACGGACACGCTTCGACCGCCTATACTCGGGCGTGAGCAGGATCGATTTATAGACCATGGAAGTACTTGAAAGAGACTGCCAAAGATGACAATAATGGAGATGACGCCGAGCGCCAAGGTGCAGATTTGCCGCCACTTGGCGCTGCGAATGAGCCCAAGCGCGCGAAACGTGCAAACACATCGCAGTGGGCGCAGGCTCTTGAGGCTCAGAACGAGCGTATGGTGCGTTGCGTCGTCCACGACCAAGTCGACGAGCTCGGGCAAGATCGTCGCAAATTCAACGAGCGGCAAGAACGTCAAGGCGTAGCGCACGCGCTGGTCGGCTGCGTAGAGTCTACGCAATTCTACTGTCAATATTACGACGCCAAGAAAGAAGCGACCGAAGGCTGTAGTCGGCCGCGTAGAGCGTGCCCATGGCCAAGTGCAGGTACTCGAGCCACATAGCGTCCTTGGTCGTGGCCCAGACGAGCCAATTTTTGACAATGTACAAAAAGACCGCGACCGCCCTAGGCAATGTGAGGCGGGGTAGCACGGCCTTTCGTACGCCAAGGCAAAGTGGAGGACGCTCAGAATGTCGGACGCGAGCGAGTGGGTGAGGTTGCGCACGACCCACTTACGCCGCGACTCGCCCGGCATGCGCCGCTGCAGGAGCGGGTGGTGGGGAGCCATGGCAGCCCCGGTGTGTATAAAGCGCTAATTTAGTCGTACGTCAGTTAGCACTAGGACCAATTTAGAGTTTCGACTACCATTACATGATCTTTTTCAAACAGATACAATGTCATTTTTACAGAGGTTCGACCCCGCTTGAAGTTTAGCTCCAAGTCGTCGTAGCGATCACGTCTGCTGCTCTACCCGACCACGGCCCACATCCTCGCCGCCAAAAAAGATCAGACTCACAACCTCGCCATCGAGGACCCTGGGCAGCCGGATCATCACTGGCATCCACGGCTTTCTAGCCTACACGAGCGTCGAAAATGTGTTCCATAGATCACGCTCGCAGGTCGACCAGCTCCATTCCTCGACCAAGATGCGAAGTCTTTGTGTCATAATGAAGATAACGCGGAACACGTTCATATATATATATAAAAGATGCTTCACACAAAAGACAGGCCAATGGCATCATTGCATCTTGTACAATCGATATTTGGTTAAAGAAGAAATTGTGATTGCAGTTGATTGCTGAACAATGCCTACAATCGATCTTTGCCCACTGTAGAGGCACCTACACCTAACTCTATAACTATCTACAAGAACAATTCTCTCACTCATCGCACAATAAACAAACGGTCGTGGGGGGCGAGGAGCGTGTCGGGGGCGGGGTTGACAAAAGTAAAATGCGCCACCGACGTCCTCGCGCGAAACACCCCGAGACACAGCGTATCCTACACGGCAAATTGGAATCTGACAAATACGGGACAAGTACAAACCTCGTGCAGCAGAAGCGCTTCAAAGCACGCCGCATACGACTGACCAAGAAGCGCTGCTGGCACCGGCACTTGGCGCAGTGCCCGCGGCCGCTCGGTATCGTCCGCCTCCCCAAACACAAGGAGGTGAAGGAAATCGATGCCGCTGCCTGTCTTTTTGCAGCTGCCAAGGAGCGCGTCAAGCGCGTTCGAGACGACAATATGGCCTAACCCCCCGACATTGAAGTCCAACGACAACACAGAGTGGCGTCGTACCGCCAGCAAACAGCGGGTGGCAAATGCTGTCGAGCACTTCATTCGATCGCTGCGTGCCATTCGTCGTGCCCATGTCTTCATCGTGCAAGGTCTTGAGGAACCGAACACTGCTCGGTCGACTCTAATATGGACGATTCAAGTCCATATCAATCGTTTATGCGATAAAAGAACCAGTTCAATGACAATCGACGGGCGGGGCGCGTCGACATCGAGCGACGTCTCACAAACTTCGGTGACGAACCGATGCAGTGTGATTGCGTCCGTGTCGGGCATATTGTGGTCAATCACGTCATTCGAGTCGAGCTCCGACTCGAAAACGTCGTCGTCGTCGACGTGCGGCGGCGTTTGCGCGCAGCTTGCCAAGATGACGATGCTTTTGCTGGTCGTAACGCACGCCGCTGCGAGCGTCTTGGCCGAGAGCGGCGAGCCGCAGATATAATACACTTGGTCGCGGCGACCGAGCCGGGCAAACATAGCCTCGGTGAGCGGCGCGCTGCTCACGACAACGATCGGAAGCACAGCACCATGCGACGCGTTGCGCAATGGCAAGATAAAGTCTTGAAGGGACGTTGGAAGGCCGCAGAGTACAACGTGCCCACGCATGGTCTCGGGCACAGCAGTGGCGAGAAACGCACCGTAGGCATCGATGGCCGCCGCCGGGTAGCTGCGATCACGCAAGAGCGCGGCGGCAAAGAGGGGCCCTTCGCCGTCTTCGACCGACGACGGCAGGACGAGGCGAGGGATGCGCGCCGGTGGTTTCTCCTCATTCACTGGCAGCGTCGGCTCGGTCGCCAAGAGGCCAGCATCGCTCACAAAAGAGTCGACGCGTGAGAGGCCGTGGTCGATACCGTCGGCCAATGCATTTTTCACCGACCGCGCGACGATCGGCAGCGAGCTATGGCGGTGCGACTGGAGCGACGTCGTAGTCGTGATTGACGTGCGGGCAGACAAGAGTCCGCCCTTGGCATTCGCGAGCTTGGTCGTAAACGTGAGAAAATTCCACGCTTGGGACACGTCGTCAAACGTAGGTAAGAGCGCCTTGTGCCTAGAACCACATACGAGTCGGTGCAAGGAGAAAGCGCTGGAGCATACTTTTGGAGCATGGCCAGTGTAATACCGCGCACGTGCTGGCGACATTGCGGCGTCGTTGCGAGCACGAAGAGCGTGTGGCTTGTCCGCAGTCGCTCCGACGATGGGAAGAGTCGGTACCCGTCGTCCGCATCGTAGAGACCCACCAGCACGATGCGCAGCTCCTGGAAGAGGAGGAAGGCAAAGAACGCAAAGGAGACGTTGCCCTCGAGGAACGTTGGCAGCATCACGTCATAAATGTTGTGGCTCGCCCCGCCGAGGTACTCGGTCACCCACCGAGGGTGCCTACATATGTTGTACGTTTGCGATAATCCCATATATAAAATGCCAAGCGCGTACCCTGTCTTCTCGAGACGCGTGGGGCTCGTAATACTGAACAGAATCGACGTCAAGAGCGCGGGAAGGCCGGGGATCAAGCACGATTTTGCCAAAATACCCATGACCAATTGGTCAATGCACAGAATATTGCTCGCGCCCGAGAGCGAAATGTGGCCAATATTGTCCGTCTTGCCGACTTGAACAAACAGTGGAACTAGATACCACGCAAATCAGGTTGACTTTTTTCGTTTCACAGAGATGTACCGTGCTTGTTAAAGTGTCGCAGTGAAATCGTAATGAAATTTGCAGCCGTGTCGGCCGTGTCGCTGTCCAGCGCGCGTTTGTCGACCATGACGTAGCACGCTTTGGCCGCAGCCGCTTTGGCCCGCAGCAAATCCGTGCGGGACATGGCCGAGCCTTGAAGGTACTTGACGCGCTGCTCGTACGCCGGGTCCAGTAGCACGCGCTTGAGGTTGTGCGACGGCAAGGACGGACTCAGGATCACGACCTTGTCCTTCCAGTTCAAATTGCGCGGGTTGAGATATTCGCGCAAGAAGAAATCAAGGGCGGACGCTGTCACGTCCCCACAGAGCACAACGTGCGGGTGCTTTTCGGTTCGCCCTGTAAACGCATTGTCGTACTCGGTCTACGAAAAATTGATAAAATGATACATTTTTTGCCGAGCGTCGTACTTCGCGGCTCACAACGTCGCTGAGTTTGCTAATTTGCATGGGCAGCACGACGCTCGATGCGATAATGAGCAGCGTCACGCTCACCCGCCCGAGCTGCGACTTGGGCGCAATGTCGCCATACCTAGTCAATGCCTTCTGCGATATGTCAATGCGACGAGCAACGCACCCGAGCGTCGCTATCGTGATGACGACAAAGTACATGGCGTTGTAGATCGAGAGGTCTTGGCAGCGCCCCGACGTGGTGTTTTTCTGCAGCACCGTGCACCGGCTCGGGTCCGGTACGTTCGACTTGCACGGACACGCTTCTATGGCCTACAACATATATATAAATGTTGCAACATTGATACATTGATCCTTTGAGAGTTGTACCTGGCCAATCGCGCCAAAGCAAATGATGATGGCGACGACACCAAAGAAGAGCGTGCCCATCTCGCGCTGTTTGGCCGTCCGGGCAAACGAGAGAAGCCGAAAGCAACGGAGACACCGGAATGGCATGAGGCTCTTGAGCGCCGCGTAGTACGTGTGGCTTGCCTCGTAGGTGGCCGGCGAGATCACCACGTCGATGAACTGCGGATAAATCGTAACAAAGTCGGCGAGCGCGACCGGATCGACGAAGAAGGCGACGCGGTCGTCGGCTGCATACAAACTAGTATCATGATGCATGATATTGTAGTGTCCTGACAAATAACAAATAACATACCAGAGCGCATAGTCGAAGGCAAATAGGACGCCCATAAAGGCGTGGGCGAGGCCGAGCTCGGCGCTGTCGACGCTGGTGTTCCACATGGACCAGTTCTTATCGGTATACAAGAGCGTCACAATGAGCCTAGATTGGTATCAGCTACATTGGCGAGAGGGAATAGTAAATACCCCATGCCCACTTGCACGATATCGAGGATCGACGAGAGGAGCGAGTTGTCCATGTTGCGCGCGACCCAGCGCCGGAACGTCTCGCCGCGCATGCGTGGCTTGATGAGCTTGCTCCGCACGCGTAGGTACACGACGTAGAGCCCGAAGCCCCGTCGCCGCCGCACCATGACGCTGACGTTCGTTCGGGCGGTTCGAGGCTAAATACGGCGAAACACAGCATCGGTTGTCGTCCCGCAAGCGCTGTAACGTGTCATTTTATCGCCAAGACAAACAAATCGATGTGCAATTCCGCATACGTCTTCGGTCGCTTCTGACTTGTGGCAGCTAGCACAAGGTTTCGCAACAAGCCGATGTCAAGCTGAATAACTTAGTGAGCAAGTCGTCACAGATAAGGGGCATCCTCGGCCATGCTCCACGTCGGTCGTCCAGAAGACAAAGACACTCACTGTCTCTAGCGTAGGAAGACATCGTTTTATGGCACCCTTGGCTTGCGCAGCGTCGATGATCAACGGAGTTTGGATAAAGAAGGACCGTCAAAAACAAAATCACATGAAACTCCTACACTCTACTAGTATTTTGGTGGTAACTTGGCTACACTGGAGCCTGCAAAGGGAGAGATGCTGGGGTTGAGGCGTCTACTACTAGTATAAATCCCTCGAGAGGGACTCTTCACGACGTCGTAGCTGTCGCGTCGGGGAAATAGAGACAGCAAAAATCTGACTTGCCGAGCGCGAGCAAATGCCGGCCGTCCGTCGGGTGCCACCGAAGGCTCAAGATGGCCAATGCCTCTGCAGAGAGAGCGGTCCCATCAGTGTGCGCACATTCAACTGCCGAGTGGCTTACCGTCGGCGACTTCGATCCTACCAAAAAGGTCATTTAAATAAAAGAAAAACAAATATCTACCACGTCACGCCGGCCGACGACCAGAGACAGACCTACAGCACACCATCGCTTCTATGTATACCCTGCTTGTGCACGAGTACGTACGCGGTTGTTGGCGCAGGCGAATGCAAGCGTGCACGCATTCGGGCTCCATCGAAAGGTCTTGACCGGTTTGGTCAACACTATTACCATCAAATCCAGAATCGAATTCTGGCATCGACGTCCATTTGGTACCGAGGACGGTGTGGAGCTCCATCGTCTGCGTCGTCCAGATCCAAATGTGGTGCGGCATATTGTCATTTCGCGTCGCAAGCAGCGTTGCATCATGGCTCCAGGTCATGGCACCAACGCCCAGCCGCGGCGACTCTTTCCTACATCCAGTCAACGTCCCAGCCGCCAAACCAGACGCGCTTCCATACAGTGGGTCAGGCTGCACGGTCGTGACGACATGGGGCAGTGCTGCGGCTTGGAACACGAGGGACTTGCTCGCTCGTCCTGGGGCTACCTCTTCGTACACCATCACCTAGCCCCATATTCGATCATATCCTTGTCTTCGCGTATCCTGTCGACGGTATATCAGGTTACCGGGTCGGATCGGGCGCGCGACGCAGCAATACTGCTCGGGTGCTCAAGCTCGGCCACGGGCTTGTAGTGCATGTGACTGAGAATGCGCACGCGCTCGTCGTAGCTCCCAACAGCGAGGAACTGCCCCGTGGGGGACCACGCTAGACTCTTGACGCCGAGTGCGTGCTGGTACGCCTGCAGATGCCATATTTGTCTCGATCGCCGTCGGAGTCGCCAGGAAGTACCTCGTACGACTGGAGAAGCGACCCGTCCGGAGCGTAAAACAGCAGTCGGTACTCGAGGAACGTATCCCGAATGCAAATCGCGCGGCCGTCCGAGGTCCACTGCACCTCGACCAGGTCGTAGCTCGCCACATCGAAATGCGACACCATCTCCCACGACCCAACGTTGTAGATGCCCAGCATGTCCTACCATCCTTTAGCCACGCGTCGCCGCTGGAGAGGACCTGTTGTACCTTGCAGTCGGCGCGCTCGGCCACGGCCAAGTACGCGCCATCGGGTGAGAAGGTCAGGCCGTCGGTCCCGAGCTTGGGCTGGCGAATCACATACTTGGACGCATCAACGAGCGACCAGACAGTTGCGTGGATGCGAAAGTCGGAAATCTACTGCCAAGGTCCGTAGGAGCAGCGTGGGGAGGCGTCGCACCGTGATGATGTGGCGTGTGTCGGGCGTCCACTTGGCGCCAATGAGCCCGCAGATCCCTTCGGCGATCTTGCCTAAGCATGGCCGCAATGAGGCGACGCCATAGGTGCGCAATGTACACTGCCACGTCGGGTCGGTCACGGAGAAGACTTGGACGAGCGCGCGTTTGTACATGGCGCAGAGCACGAGGTGCAGGCCATCGGACGAGTCGGACGGCGCCCACTGCACGCTCGAGATGAGGTCGACGCACGTGTAGACCTGGACGACGGCCATGTTGAGCGTCGCGTCGCGGATGCTGAGCCGCGTGTCCTTGGCGATACCGAGGTACCGCCCGCAGCTGCTCCAGCTCAGGAGGCCCGCGCTGTGCGGCAGGAGCTGGCTCACGTTCGTGCTGCTCGCCATGGTCTTGGTGCAAAAAAGCCTAATTAGGATTTGGGCCATATGGGATGGACGATTGGTATCCGGATTTTGAACATGAAGCGGCGGATCGACCTGCGCTGGCTCGGGCGCACCAGCAGGCTCGTGTGGTACGATGGCACCTCCGATCGCATGGTCGAGGCCAGCGCCAAGACGGTCTTGGGTCTACCTGCCGAGACGCGAATCCTCCTGCGCGACGGCGACGGCGACCACGTGCCGGTCGCTGGCTGCCTCCCGCCCGGCACCTACGACGTGATCGTGTTTGACGGCGCACCGCCGCTGCCCACCGACGAACCGCTGCCTGTAAACACGATCGCCCTTCCGGACGACGCGGTTGCGGTGGCGCCGCCCATGCTGCCGCTCTACCGCACCGTTTTGGGCCACAAGCGTCAGCGCACAGCTTCGGTCTCGACGATCATCGGCCACTTTATCGAGGTCTTCACGGTATGCACCCTATAGCGCACGCATTTGATGACCCTGCGCGTAGGTGCCAATCGCCGCCAATGACGTGGTCAACTTCGTGCCCAACCATGGACCGTTTGCCCTTCATAGCCTGTGAAGACTGCACTTTTATCGCACCAAAATACTGACGGACCTGTAGGTACGCGGCGCTCGTGGCGTCCGAGTACGACCCGCCGGACGCGACGTCGTTTTACAAAATCGCGTCGTCGGCCGTCGTCCTCGATCGACAGCGTGCGATCCGGTACTATGCGATCCCGCCCTCGGACGTGGTGCAGCTGCCACCGGCTGGAAAAGGACCGATCTTGCGCGCGTACTTAAAGACGTCACGCCTGCACGCGCTGCCAGCCGAGACCAGACGGCGTCTACTCGGGCTCGCCGAGGTGCTCAAACAGTCGCCCGACGATCTTCTCGCGGCATACCACCGCTTTCTCATGCAGTTTACGCCCATTTCCAAGGCGCAATTCACCAAACACCAGCAACGCACGTCATGACAATGCAGCGTGCCAACGGTGCGGAAGAAGAGCCAAGTAGTTTTCCATCACTTATCCGGATGTCGTCCCTCAAAAAAAGCGAAGTTCATGGCGTCGGTTGGATCCGCATTTTCATTTGCTCGTTGAGCTAACATGTGGTGCTAGCTCACTGGCAAGTAGAGACCGTTGGGTCGAGAGAGCCACGCCAACGAGGCTTTACATCTGCACTTGCCTTCTAGATTCTCTTCGCCAGCGACGTGGAGGACCGTGACGACAGGCTACATTCGACGCCTCTTGACACCACTTGTAGCCCAAACAGTCGGCTGTCAACGAGATGCGTCGTTCAACCCGACTCCGTCACGTTGTCTTTGACACAGTTGTATCGCATTGGCCAATGGTCGACACTGCATCGATCGTCGTCGACGCGCAACGTTCGCAGCTACTGCACGGGTCATACACGCTGCCACGTCATGGATGGCCTGTCTACGAAAATCCTGTATCCAGGAAGCAGACACTGGAACGAAAAAACGCGTGTCGCGCCACAACCGACAAGAAACCGCAGTGTAACCAATGCAGCTGCGCGTCGGCGTCCGGGTCGACGGCCTGTACGCGAGCGGCGACGTCTGGTTTCCCGGCACGATCGTCGACGCCAACGACGGGCTCTTCACCGTGCGCTACGACGACGGCGAGGTCGAGGAGAGCGTGCCCGAGCACCTCCTCCGGCTGCACGAGGTCGGGACATGGACCGTCGGGTCGCGTGTGCTCGCCCGCTACAACGGCGACGACGACTTTTACGCTGGCACGATCACAGCAGTAGACGACGAGAACCGGGTGTACGACATCGCGTACGACGACGGCGAGGTCGAGGAGAACGTCTCGTATGCGTTCATCATGGACGAGGACCGGGCGCCATACTCGGCCCGCTCCGAGGCGTCGCTCATCGGCGGCGACGTGCCTTCGATTGCCGAGAACGACGATGAGCCTGCAACCGACGCGCCCGCGGTGCTGACGACACCGATGCCTCGCAGCAGTGAAGCGCCGGTGCCACTCGTTGAAGCCACACCTTCTGTAGAAGTGACAACAGTGACAGTGACAAGAGACGACGCTCCAAGACTCGAGGTTGTTGCCGCTGCACCAAGTCCCGTACACGAGCCTAGCGTCACGGAGACCGTCGAGCCAATCGCGTCTATCACGGCGGCGGAGCGCCACCCGCGCCCGCCGCCACACCGGGAGAGCGCACGCCAGAGCATGGACGAGGCGACGACGCACGGCGATGAGCCGCTAGCGACGCTGCTGCACTGCGACGTCGAGGTGCAAGCGCTTCTGAGCACGTTGGCCGAGCCCGTGACAAACAACGACAAGCTTCTTGTCGTCGTAGGCTCGGAAATGCATTTTTTGCTATCTCTGAGTCAATACGCTGTGTAGAAGAACACGCTTGCGCAGCTCTTGCACCAACTGCGCATGGCGCCGCATGTGACGACCGACATTTGCGCGCAACACGGTGGCGAAGGCCGCCTCTTGCAGTGCATTCAAGACAACGTGCAGCACTCGATCCTGGTGTGCTTTTGCTTCGTCATCATCCGTCGCCTCTGCTCCGTCTCGGACGTGGCGCTCGACACGTTCTTGTCACAAGACGTCCTGGGTGTCGTCGCCAACGTCATGGTTCTATGCCCCCAAGACGCCGTGCTTCAGGTACCATTGGCATCGCGCTGCGACACACGCCGAAGCACATTGCATAGGCCTCGGCGTGCGGTGTCTTGGCGACGTTTGCGCGCGGCGCCGGCCTCGACCGCATGCTGCAGCTGCAGTTGGCCCAGCTGATTCTAACCGTCTTGCTCTTGCACCAGCCGCTCAACCACTATTCGCGTCAAGTCCACTACTATGCATGCGAAGGTACGTCCAGGTGCCTCTACGATCTGGGCGCCAATGGTGGTGTAGTCCTACTGCGGCTTGCCGATACCAGCGACAAGCGCGTGCTCGCGCTCATGAGCGCCGTCGATGCTACGAACGGCTCGACCGCCATGCATTTGCTCGTCATCTTGCTTCGCCAAGGCCACCAGCACGAAGATCAAAAGGTGGCCTGCGCCGCCTGCACCCTAGTTCTCTGGTCCTCTGCCAAGATCTAACTGTGTCGCTGATTCTGTTTCTAGTTTGGCGGCCAAGGACCGAAAATGTGCCGAGGTACTGCGCGCGACCGAAGCGCTCACAGATATTTCGACAGTCATGGCCAAGTACCCCAACGACAATGGTAGCAATGCCGCGTGCTTTCCATTGTATGACGTGGCGTAGGGATATCGCACTATTCGACCGTCGCGACGCGCGAGATTGCCCTGGCAACCATCAAGACCAACGGCCCGACCAAGGTCCATGAGAAAGCTGCAGCGATCCTCTCGACGTCCTCGACGACCGCGGCGCCGTCGAGCCACACTGCTGTCATGGCACCATCGAGCTCCAAGAAGCAGCTGCTCAAGCCGCCGACGCCAACCAAGAAGAGCCAGGCGTTTTCGCGCAACAGCATTGCGCCCGCGCCTAAACTCAGTGCCAACGTGAACGCGAGCTTGAGCAAGATGCAAGTCATGGCACGCATGACGTCGCCCCTTGGAAATGCAGCGTCGACCGTGGTGGCGTCCAACCCGGTGCGGACGCCGCTCAAACCGTCGAGCCCCGACCGGCTCGTCAAGCACCACCGGTTCATTCCGTTTGAAGACAAGCTCGAGTGGCGACTGCTGCAAGCGACGCCCAAGAAGACAGTGCCGATGCCATCGCCCAGCGCGCGCACGGTTGAGCGCGAGAACATCCTCATGCAGACGTACGGTGTCTCGACGTTGCGCGAGATGCATTTTCCGCCGTCCAAAGCAGCGTACGCCAAAGAAAAGTCGTCGCCAAAAACAAAGCCAGCGACGCCGCAGTCGCCACGCACGAGCTCCCCACCAAAGACATTTGGCTCGCCAGCGGTATCGGTCCGCAGCAGCCCGCGACCGCCCAAAGTGCAGCCCACACGAGTTGCCCAAGAGCCGTCGACAGTGGTTGCTAAGCCCGCGTCGGGGCGCCCACCCAAGGAGCTGCCTCGGGCGGCACGACAGCCCATCGTCAAGTACAAGGTTCAGATCGACGCCAAGCCGACGACGACCGAGACGACGCGGGCACCAAAGTCGACGACAAAGAAGAAGCTCAAGACGCTGACCGTGCGGCAGCAGTCGCTTCAAAAGATCAACCACCAAGAGATTTTGGACCAGCGGGCAATGAACCAGCTCGCGGCTCAGCTCTTTCATGAGCCAGCGTCGCCGGTACTGACGCCGACAAGTGCCGAGACAAAGCCGCCCGAGACAGGCCGTCGCAGCTTCTCGGACAAGCTCCACGAGATGATTCGAACGGCAGAGGAAGCGCTCTGTCGACCGCCCAGCGCGACCAACGTGCTCGCGGTGCGTGCTGCGACACCGCCGAGTCTTCAGTTTTCCGCGGCCGAGATCCCGCCCAAGCCCACGACCCCCAAGCCACCGGTCGTGCCCAAACCGGCGACGCCAGAGCCCGACACATTTTCGGTCGCAGGGCTCGGACGGCGAGGATCAAACTCGAGCTCGAGCTCCAACATGCTCGAAATGCGCCGAAACTCAATGGAGCGCCGCGCGTCGATTCAGAGCGACCGCCGGAAATCACTGGACCGTGGTCTCTCCAACGCGGAGCTACACCCAGCGTCTCACCCCGACCTCCACCCGACATCCAACAACGCCGAATCGCAACCGACGTCCAGTGATAGCGGACAAGACCTACAGGGCTACGTTGCGTCGTTGGACCTGAAACCGGTCTTGCACCCAATGGATGCCTTTGGCACATCCCGGTCGGCCCCGGCAATGGCGCAGGAGCCAACGATCCCGACCGACCGGACGGCGGTGAGCGAGCACCCGATGCATTTGGATATGGAGACGCCGCGCTTCGACGCTGAATTGGAGCTTCTGCACAACGACGACATGCCAGAGTCTGCGCGCGAGAGCGAGGATGGCGCCAAAGACGAAGGCGCCACATTGGAAGACAACGTTGCCGTTGCGGGGGCGTCGGCAAGCGGCGGCACCGAGACCGTGCTAGATACGTCGGCACCGGACGACGACGGCGACTATAACGACGACGAGTTTGAAGAAGCCGTCAATGAAAGCGGCGATGCGTCCGAGCCACCGGTCGACGCCGATGCATGCGCTCCCGAAGTCGATCACGATACACCGCGGTCGGGCACATCCGTGGACGAGCTTGATTCACAGCCCCTCGCAGACGTCGACGAGCCCCCCACCGATGTGATCGAGCCCCCCGCAGACGTCGACGAGCCCCTCGCAGATGTCGACGAGCCCCTCGCAGATGTCGACAAGGCTCTGGAAGTGGATGAGACGGTACCTGGCGGGTCGAAACAAAATGAAGTACCTGCAGCCGCGTCAGTGCATCAAGAAAGTGAAGCAGAGTATACTTGCGATGACAGTGCTGTCAACTCGGCTTCAGTGCTGGAATCCACCGAGACGCCGACAACTGAGCGAGACACCGCCGAGAGCACCGACGAGCAGGCCGGTGGGAGCCTCACGCAGCCCGACATAGCAGCCACCGATCCCAAAGTGGAACCCTCGCGTGCTGGCTTTGATGCGCCAGTCGTGGAGCCAGAAAGCGTTTCGTCGGAAGCCAATGTCGACGACAGCTCGTCAGAGAAAGCAACTGGTGTGCATGCAACGCCACGCAGCGACCTGCAAGGTGTGCCCGCAGAACCGAGCGACGCAGCCTCGGGTGACGACAAATACGCGCCGTGCACCGACGATCCAGTGCCGGCGCCGACGGCTTCCATTGAAGCAAATCCAGCGCTATTGGAGGCAACGACGGAAGTCGTCGCGGAGGGTACCGACGTAGCACCGAACGACGCCTCCGATCTTGCGCCAAGAGAAATGACCGCCGAGTCGGTGACAGAGAGTATCGATGTACCAGCGCCCGAGGCTGGCGTCAGTGACAGCCAACGCATCGATGTCGATGCACAAGCAGCAGACGACGACACCAAAGTTGCGTCCGACGTCGTTGCTCGTGCGCCTGTCGCCACTGTCTTGGCCGTCGACACACCATCCAACTTACCCCCCGAGATTGAATACGAAGAGGAAGTGTGGGCCGACGACATCGAAGATGGCGACGTCACAGCTACAACGAGCGACGCCGTGTCCATACCAAGTTTCGACGATACGCCGGCGCCAAAGAGCTCGGCGGGAAGCGATCCCTCGACGGACGCTGCTGTGTGTGGCCAAGATGGCATTGCTCATGAGGACAATGCAGCAACCCATGCGCACGATATGGCGCCATCAGTGCTGGCGAGCGTCGGCACAGTGTCTCCAAACGATCGTAATCCGGATAGCGCTCTGAGTGAAGCCGCGCCAGTCCCGAGGGATGCAAGCCTACTTACAAGCGACGACGCACCAGTCGCTGTCGAAACCATTATTACAAATCCGCCAAGTCCTCGCGCTGAGAGCGCTGAGATCTCAACGCCTCGTTTCGAGCCCGTCGACGTGGCCCCGGCAGGCGTCATACCAAACGACGCTGACGGAGCGCCATTGGTCGCCCCCGACTCTCCATTGAACGCCGAAGCACCGACACACGTGGTGGTATCCGCTGCCAACACGGAGCCAACGACCGATGTTTGGGAGGGCGATGAGTACGTACCAAACGACGCGGCGGTGGACGAAGTATTGGCAGGCCTCGTCGACGACTACGACAAGGCATCGTCGACCGCATCACTGGCGGACAACCCGCGTTTCGACAGCGAATTCGAGGTTGACGACAGCGCCGCACCGACGACCTCCGAGCCTGAAGCACCGACAGTGGTGGCTGTCGTGGACCCTCCGCTCACCGCCCGGGAACCAGCGTCCGAGAGTGCAGCATCGCCGGAACCCGTCGTTTTGGAGTCGGTGGAGAAGGCTACACCACCGCTGGTCGATGACCCCGCGCTCGTGTCCGAACCGTCCACACCACTCGTTACCAACCGCATGGACGAGGCCGAGACAACGTCGCTACAAGCTGGAGGCGAGCATACGCTCTCTACCACGTCGCTGGACGAGACCGAGCGCTTTGAGAGTGACTTTGAGCCCGTGGACGATGTCGTGGTACCCAGCAACGTCGTGACGGAGACAGGGTCGCTGCAAAACCCGGAAGAGCTGGAACTGCTCGCAGTTTCGACGGACGTCGCGGCACCGAAGTTAGAGGCGGCCCAAGAGGTTACCAAATCCAGCAACGCCAGCGACGAAGCACCGGCACTGCAGCTGCAACCGACGTCGTCGACAGCGTCGCTTGAGGACTCGACGCGATTTGAGAGTGACTTTGAAGCGGACGACGCACCACCCGATGCAAATGTCGCGCCAGTCCAAGAGGTGGCGACGCTGTTGGAGAAGGAGAGCCCTATGAATGTACCGTCCAGCACACCAGAGCCACCAGAGACTGCAGAGAGCGAGCTACTGCCGAGTGCGACGACGACCACCTCGGCCGCGGCAGAGATGCCTAGCTCCGACGCAATCACCGCCGATCCCGTCGAGGATACCGTACCCCGCCCTACCCCGTCGGTGACACCCGATCATTGCGAATACGAAGAAGAGTATTTTGCCGAGTATGACGACGCACCGGTGACACCCGATGTCGCACGTGCCAGCACCGATGCCGAGGTTGATGCAGCGGCCGACCCGATGGCACCTGTGGAGATGCCGCCTTTGACCCTTCCCACACCTCGTGATGAGGAGGCAAGTCAAGACGAAACGGCGCGCTCACCACAACACCATCCAGGCGTGGCGTCCGAGCCAGCTCTTGCGGATCTACCGACGCCTCGACCGACAACAGACGCTGGGGCCATCAACTTTGAACCCATCAACGCTACAGCCTCGATCAAAGCCACCATTATTCCCAGTTCAACCAGCGCAACCGACGATGCAGTCCACAACGATGTCTCTGCGCCTCCTCCATGTGTCTCTGCAGACCCGGTGCTCAAAGCCGTTGCGAGTCCAAGAGCCGTCGCTCCGCCCGACGCAGAAGATGCTGTGCCGGAGCTCTCCGCATCCGCACGTGTCGACGATTCCACCCCAAGCTCCGTCACATCAGACACCTTACCAAGTGCGCGACCTGTCGACGTGCCGGCTCTTGCGTTGCTAAGCCCGTCGCTCGATTCGGCGGCTACCAAAGTGTCTTTACCATCACAAACCAACGTGCCAACTACCACGCCACGGCCTCCGCCGGAATCGTCAAGGATACCCGCACCGCCCACCACCAACGACGACGTCCAAGCCGACGACGACGACGATGACAATGCGTACGCCGACGACGACGACTATGGCGACGACGACTTTGAAGACTAGTGTACAGTACCACGATCCATGTTGTGTAGTAGACACGCGTGCAAACATTGTCGACTGTTTATCGGCAGCAGCGGCAGAGGCGAATCTTGCCGTTGCGCCCCGGCAGTCCCGGCGCCGGTGGCAAATTCGGGGGCGCGTTGCCGTCGCGCTCGTGGCGCTTGATGCCGTGGACGTAGACGCTGTGGAGGACATCGGGCGCGAGCAACTTGGTCGCATCGGTCGCGACGTTGTGGTTGAGCACGACAAAGTCGGCGTAAAAACCGGCATCGAGGTGGCCCAAGCGCGTCTCCGCATTGGCCGCAAAGGCACCTACGCATCCCGACGACCTGTCATGCCACGTTAGCAACCAACGTCGTCACACACCGTTGAGCGTATAGAGCTGCAGTGCTGACGCAAACGTGAGTTGTTGCGCCGGCGAGTCCAAAAAGTTGCTCGTCCCCGGCGCAGCGCGGTGCATGGCGTCGTACAATCCTTGGAAGGGGTTGCTCGTCTCGATCGGCGCGTCGCTGCCGCCGGCACAGAGAATGCCGTGGTCCATCATGCGCTTCCTACACCAATTTTGTCTAGTTTTCAGCATTGCAGTGGAGAAAGGAGGAGAGACCAGCAGTACGAGTACGGGACGCAGGCCGGTGGCAGCCGCTTCTCGGCGAACGAGGCGTCCGTGATGACAAACGACGGCTGGATGTCGGCAATGACGCCGAGGCGCGCCATCTGGTCGAGCAGATCGGGCCCGAGAATCTGGCAGTGCGTCAGAATCGGACGATCGGCGGGCTCCAAGCCGGCACTCTCCATGGCGTGCAGCACTTGCGCCGCCGCGCGGTCGCCGATCGCGTGGACCTCAAGGCGGTAGCCGGCCGCATGCGCCACTTGAATCTTGTGGAGCATCGACGCGTCCGACTCCATGAGTACGCCACGGTTGGACGTGTTGCGGTACGGTTCACGCAGCGCCGCCGTTTCCTAGTCAACGTCGCTGAGGCATGGTTGACGATACATGAAGCAAGTGTACGGCGCCGAGGGAGCCGTCCGAGAAGATTTTGACGCGGTCGCAGCTCAAGAGGCCGTCCTGTGTCTTGGGTGCGGGGATCGTTGTCTGGCCAATCTCGTTCTGGTCGGGCGTCACATATACGCGCAGTGGGACGCGGCCGGAAGCCTGGAGCTCTTGGTACAAGTACCACGCGTTGTGGTCGTTGGTGTGGACACCTGTCATATGGGATGGCATAAAGGAATAGGATATGTTGGAAGATTACCAGTGAGACCGAATTCGAGGCACGTCTGGAGACCGCGCAAAAGGTACTTTTTACGTAGCTCTAAACACCGACGGAGGTTGTGCTATTGCAATCCCACAGCAATGTACCGTCCGACTGCTCTTGAATGAACTTGTGAACGAGCGACACGGCCTAGGGAACATGAGTCGTCGAGTATCGATCCTGGAGATGCTACAGCTTCGCGCAAGACGCCTGTGGGCTTGCCAGTGGCATCCATGTCGACGACGCCGCCTGGGATCGAGGTCCACGCCGCATCGATCGCATCCCACTGAAGACCCGCAACCTCGAGCGCCTTGGAGTTGACAACGGCAATGTGCCAGCAGGCGCGCCAGAGGTACATGGGGCGACCTGGCACGATCGCGTCCAAGTCGAAGCGGGAGGGATACCGCGCGTCGGCCGACAGCTTGTCTTGCTCCCAGCCAAACCCGACGATCCACTCAATGTCGGGGTGCTTGGCCGCGTGCGCTTGGACGCGATCACGCAGCTCGTCAAATGACGCCGTTCCGCGCAGGTCGACGTAATGAGCGACCTCGCCGATAAGGTAGACATGAATGTGCGAGTCGTGAAGGCCCGGAAGCACGAGCTTGCCGTCCAAGTCGACGGTGGTGGTCGCCTTTGTGCGGATGAAGCCCGGCACGTCGCCCGACCCGACAGCCACGATCTCGCCTTTCGCTTCGTCAATGAGCATCCAGTTGGCATAACCCCGCGACTCGCGAGGCGCCGCGAACGTCGGCGCGCTGGCCCACTGCCAGATCAGTCCCTTCTCGAAAAGCTTCGTCGTCATTCCAATGACACGGCAAATATCCAAATGATCCACGTGCCGAATCCGCCGGGTTAGGCTCGGCATATTAATTTAGGCATTCGGCAGATGCCGAAACAAACGACGACGCCGCCAGAGCACACGTAGCTGCACGTAGCGTGGTCGGAGCCTCTGATCCCGGAGCGATACGTTGTTGAGTAGAAAAGTGGGTCATTTCTCGTGCATGGGTAGTACAGCTACAAGGCAGTGCTCCGTTGAGTGCTCAAGGACATGGCGTTTGTCGATAGTGCGCAGAATGCCGAAAATAAAGCGGTTCAACATGGCAACTTGATGTTATGGCGCCCTTGTTTCAGGTACCATATGCCTAAACAAAGGCGAAATCCGATTTCCAAAGATACCATTTTCCAGTTTGGATTTCACCTCGGAGCGCGCGCATGAATTGGATCGCGAGCAGCAAGAACCGCGCGCTGCATGGGAAGCTCGCCCAGCGGAAGAGGAAGCAGTACAAGGGCGCGCAAGGAGCTCCTCCCCCGCGCGAGGTCCATGGGACGATGGTTCGCGAGCCTCGGACGACGACGATGGAAGCAGGGCCGGCGGCGATGCTAGCGCGGCCGACGGGAAGCTACCGCTTCGGCGCGATGGGAGCAAGACAGGAGAAGCATCAAGCACGCATCCCGAAGGACGACGTCCCGGACAAGAAGCCGTCCCCGATGCGCCCGACGTCGAGCTCCCCAGCGCGCATGATGCTTACCCCGGACCAAGCAATCCGTTGCTTCAAGTATGTCTCCCATCTTGCCTTCCCTTGGTCACGAAGATGACATGCTCTGCTGGTGCATGTAGCGAGGGCGAGGAAGTCGACGAAAAGGGTACGCATGCTACCTGGATGTCATGTACTCATCACCCACAAGGCAAGGCCATGACACCGGAACGCAAGCGGGTCGCGCCGTCAACGAACTCCCCGAAAAACCAAACGAGCCAACGTACAATGCCAATGCTTTCGTGTCGGAAGAAAGAAATGGATTTTCTAGGTTCAACAACGTCCTTCGTGCATGGGGCGTCCAGCGAGACAGGGAGGGGGCATCTCTCGGGCGCAAAGCCAGCGCCAAGTCGACTCTCGTTCTTCGATCACGTCTTTCCCGAACGTCGTGCACTCGTCGGAGATCAACCTTTCGTGTACCCATGCGACGAAGACGACTCGTTGGCATCGTCGGCGTCCTCAGCTTCTCTGCAATTGGTGTCGCCACGTTCGCAGCCTATGCTCATGGGCCACAGCGTGAGCACAACACCCATGTCTGGCAGCCCGTACAGCTTCCAAGGCCGTCGTCCTCGGGACACGACAAGCAGAGCGACGACAGATGACAATCCAGAAGAGAAGGCGCTCTATACCTCGATCGCCTCGTCCAGTACGTCAACCGTACGTTCCCCACATTCCATGTCAATTTGTCCTTAGACGCGTCGTCAACAAGCAATACAAGTCGACAAACTTCCAGTTCCATGAAATCAATGTCCGGCCGAGTCTTTACAAGTATGTGTGCTAGCGGGGCAACAAAAGCGGCAATATGGCCGAGCGCTCCGCGATCAACCGCCAAGCGCCAAGCGGTCAAAGACGAGCACCGAAGGTAGGACTTTTGTGGAGTCTGGTGCCCAAATCGTGATAGACTCCTCGCCCTCGCCATCACCACAACTCAACCTAAGCATTCGACGTATGCTTCACTCTTGGTATTGAGAAGCGACATGTGTTGGCTAGAGGATACTGTGGAAGGTGAACTTGGTCAACTGACACTTTGGCACTTGGTATCAAGCGCTATGCAGCTGCTGCGAAGCGCCCATCTTTCCTGACGCACCGCGTCAGCAACAATCGTAACACTCGATTGCACGGATATATTGTTCCTATCGTGATGGGCTAACGTAGGCCTGCAAATCTTCCGAGACGAAGCGCCAGACTACACCGTGCGAAATGGTTTTGGTCAATCCGAGCCAAGTACGTTCTTCAAAGATGCATGGGGTAAAAAAGAGAAAAACGTGTGTCTAGATGGACGGGATTGGCTTAATGAGGCCTCGCCACGGTTTTCAAATCATACGACCATACGTCCGTCGCCCACCCAAGATACCGAGATGCAGTGGCAACCGTCCCCAACGCGCTTGTTATCTCCAAGCTCTTCCGACATTTCAACGCCGCCAATGATCGGACGGGACTATGTGCGCCCTTCATGGGCAGATGCATCGACATACCCAACCCAAGCTTCAATTGAGCCTCGCGCCATGGCCACCTACAACGACGCACGTAAGGGAACGACACGTCAAGCACGCCGGGTGATTACTGTCGACTTGGTTCATAGCTCCGTCTATGGCATCTTCGTCAGCTGACCGACATGGATTCAGCTTGCAATGGTCTCAACGAAGCACGGAAGCTTCTGGGTTATCAAGAATGCTCGACGGCACGAGCCAAAACGATCCATCACCGGGCTGGCATCATCGCGGAGTGCACCGACTGATATTGCGTGCTGAGAGCCCAAGCCCCGATGACCATCTAGGCTCTGGATGGAAGGGTAAGCTACATATTTATCGCGGGTACAAACTTCGCTAGGTCCGTACGTTGTGCCGCTGCAACCTAGCGCGAAGCATCCAGAGAAGTGGCATACGTCGCTGTTCAGGCAGTGTACCACGTCGAATGGTGCAACCGACAGTGCGAAGCCACGACATGCAGTCATCAACGGTACTCATGCACAATCAGCACCGGGTCTAACGAGCGACTAGACGCTTCGTTTGCCAAACCTCATTGGATCAGGGCAAACAAGCCCGCAGTCGGTGAAGGTCAAGGTAACTAGAGACCCTCCGAGCGTACCATCACGAAACTCAAAGGCGGTCATCTTTGTGTCATCACTCGAAAAGTCGGGCCCCATGATGAGATGTCCACGGTTGGGAAGCACCCCGCTCCAGGTTGTTTAAACAACATATTCCTTTGGCATGCTCATCACGCTCTAATGATTAGCTCCCGAGTCAGACCTCGTTGGCCGTTGGCAGTGGGCGAGGCATTTGGGCAAGCCTCGCAGTGAAACGTTTGTCGAGACATTCGCCCCAGCGACGACCATCGCTTCGAGTCGACACGCGCATGCGGTTTCAGGGGAGTCGGATACTCTTCTTTTCGAGCCAAACTTTCAAGGTCAAACCCACGCACCGCCACATAAGTCTTCTTGCAGCCGACCATCCTCATCAAGTTTCGATGCTCAACGTCCCTCGACCCCGGAAACTTGCACCCCGGCGTCCATCGTGCTGCACAACGAGCCTGAAATGACGGTCGGCACGATTCAGTTCACACAAGTCGCAGCAACCATCGCTGACGAAGCCCAGTCGACTGCGTCGTCCTGTTCAACTCCGTTGACGTCCCATGGATGCAACAGGGTCGTCAACCTCGATGAAGGTCAACCATCGCCTCATGGCGATGCACCAATTGAAGAAGCGCCGAGCCAACGTCGCCCCGAGCTAATGAGGCTCGAAGGCTTCTTAAGCAGCTGCACAGACGAGAGCGATTCCAGTCAACCAGAGGACACAGATGTGTATGCACCAACGCAACGGCTGGTGTATGCTTCGTCGCCTGAGATATCAGACTTGGACCAGCGTCAAGGTGATCAACCTTGTTCATCTCCGAACGAATTGGTTTAGAACGGAGCGCTTTATCTAGTGCCCACCAAATCCCAGACTCAAGGCTGTGTATCTTCTCCCGAGGCCAAGTTGTCGGTCGTCGCTGAAGGATCATGTCGCCCATGGGCCATGCAAGAGCGGACACGACGGATCTTGGCAAGCTTCTCTCGTGGTACACATACGAATATGACAGCCATGTTCATCGGTCAACGTAGAAAACGTGGCCGTCGCCCATGTCGATCCCACCTTTGAAGACGACGCGGCGTCGTTAGCGATCGTTCTGTGGACACTAGTGCAGTGCTACGCGCAATGTTGATGCGATTATATTCTTTCTATCTGCAAAACAGCGTTACTGGCTGCCAATGTCGCCGAAGATTTCTTGCATCTTGGCGTGCGCGGTGCTGTACTTTGGTCCAACCCAGTACAGTTGGGCACAGAGGAGGCACGCCCAAAAGTCGGTCACGGTCTCAAGCACGCGCGCCGGAACATCGTCGCCGACCCGGACTTCTTCCAGCGGTACGATGCGAAAGCCCTTTCCATTGCACTTGGCGCATCTATGGACCGTATGTGAATGGTAGATGCTCAAGGCAACGGGCACTCACCTCGACATGAACGTCTCTTCGTTGAACTCGATGCTAAAGTGCTTTTTGATCTACGTATCGAGGTGCGTCGTGCAAGGCCGGGTGTAATGACGCGAGCGTACCTCTTGAAACTGCGCCTCAATGTTGTCGCTGAGGACGACGTAGCACGCGAGCGCTTGGCGCTGCTTGGCGAGCTTCCGGTCCCGCGTCAGCACAATTCGGTGCTCGACGGTCGCTTGAATGAGCATGTTCGACTTCTCGTCGCACTTGTCCCAGTGCACGACGTCGACGCCTGTCATGCGAAGCCACTTGGCAACACGCCCAAGCATCGTATCAGCGAGAAATTTGAGCTCTTGCGGCGCCGCTTGCAAGCTCGTAATGTCATTCTGCACCGCCAAAGGCAGAACGCGCGGAGCATGGCAGAGCTCCAGAAGCGCCTCGAACGACGCCTCCAAGAGAACATCCGAGGTTCCGCCGCCAAGCACAATGCGCTCTGCACCATCGAGGGCCCTATACCACGATTCAAGAGTGTTCTTGCGACTGAAAGAGTCCATAGACATACGTGTCGAGCAAGACGGGCGCGGCCACGTTGTGGGCAAACGGTGGCACCGTCCCCGGCGCGTACCCAAAGATGCTGGTGCACTCGGTGGGCCGGGCAAAGCGCACCTTCTTTCTAGCGACACCCAAGACCATACTCAGGAGACTCAAGTCGACCTTGGCGTCCTGGGGCAGCACGACGACGCACGGTACCCCTACGATTCATGAGCAAACGTAGGACATCCATCATAGGTACCGTTGGCGAGAATGCAGAGGCTGTTGGCGAGACGCACGCTAGCCCCCTCGCCGTTGGCGTCCAAGTCGCTCCGAGGAAACAGCCGAATGCGCTTGCCTTCGTGCAGCTTGACAAAGTCTGCAATGCGTGGCTGCGTCATCTACAGCAACAGTGTTCGGTTTGCGAATCCAGATGACCGTAGTACCACGGAGGCCGACTTTGCGTGTTGTCGCGCATGCCGCAAGCGCACGATATCGGTCACCGGTCGGCTTGGTGGCACGTCGCATATGATCGACTCGATGCAGCCAGCATAAAGCTCATCAGACGATTCGCACATGCGCTGGGCCATGGCGACGAGCACCCAGGCGTCGAGGGCTGCGTACCTAGTCCATCGCTTATACCATTTCGCTCGTCATGACACGTACTCGGCTTGCTTTGGCGTCAACGGTCGCTTCTCCCAGTCAGAAAGTTGTTGTTTCTACAGCATTAGTAGTAGAGCAGCAACGCCGCCGTCGAATAATACCTTGTTCAGAGGTCGCCCCAAAACGAGCGCGGCACCGTCCGACAAGCTCCGACCCGTGTACGACGGTTGCCACGAGCGCAGCAGCGCTCCCATCTACGCCAACTTCAGACGCCATCGCAAGGTGCACGCTGCCACATACGTCCACGAGGCCGTGGACAACGTCAAAAGTTGTCTTGTCTGGAAACGTGTGCTTGAGCACTAGTGATACGACATGCGGTTATACGACTGCCAATCGCGAAACTCCAATACCCACCTCGGAGATCGTGCTTGAAGCCAAACCCAATATTGAGCACAGAGGGATGCCGCAAAATTGCTTCGACGACGTCCAAGCCCGTTCGAGTGGTCTGTTCGACGCGTCAACACACAGGCCCGTGGATCAGTATAGCAACCTCGAGAGCTACAAGGTCGATGAGGAATACACGGTCCGCGAGCGCGAGTTGGAGGAGGCTGGCGAGGCACGTTTCATCTTTGGACACGAGCGGCCGCCACTCGACGTCCACACCGAGCCAGACGGGGTGTTTGCCTTCCTCGACGCGTGCTACAGTCGATT